TTATTTGAAACGAAAATAATGAATTACTTGAAACTGTTCATTTATTTATTTCACTTAAATATTTCATTTATTTAATACAAATAAACAAATTTTCGACAAATAAATGTGTTATTTGAATACAGAATATACGGCACTGACATTGATATAGTAGATTAGCCCGAATTCTCACCAAGTCTCAGTGGCCGTGCGGTTTAAATAGGTGCGTTAGGGGCGGGGGGACGTGAGTTCGATCCCACATGCGAGCGAATATTTTTCATTCTTCGTTTTAAGCGTTATATAAAATAATAAAATTGTGTGTTGTGTTGTGAATAAAAACTGTGTGAACTTGTTTGTAAATAATATTAAAAGTCTGTTAAAATATCAGTTAATAAATATAATATATAAATATAATATAATAATAAATTAATAAATTAAAAAAAAAACGAAATACTTAAAAAAAAATTTTTGTATTAAATATAGAATGAAATAATTTTTATAATTGATTCAAATAATTATTTACTAGCTTGAAATATTATATTTATTTGATTTGAATAATTTGTATTTAATACAAATAACTATTTATTTGATACGATAAAACGAAATACTTAGGTTTAGTAAATATTTATTTGAGTTGAATAATTTATATAATTGATTCAAATAATTGTTTATTAGTTTGAAATATTCCATTTATTTGATTTGAATAATTTGTATTTGATTCAAATAAATAGTTATTTGATGCGATAAAATAAAATATTTAGGTCAAATAAATATGTATTTGGTTCAAATACACATTTATTGGATTATAACCAAATAAATGATTTATTTGAATCAAATAATTTTTATTTGATTCAAATAAATTTTTTTTTCAGTGTATAACTATTCTGCTTGATTCCGATAAATAAAAATTAAAAACAATATGTAAAATTTCTATAAAGTAAATGAAAAATCTATTTTGGAAAAAATTGTCTTCACTATACTTAACAAGTAGTAAACTGTTAACGGAAATGTTTGTAAAAGCACAATGCATATATTGACGCTCAAAGGTCAATTTATATTTTAAAAGCTGATATTCAATAACTCAATCTGCGATGTATTTTTCTTAATGAATGATTAATAGAGACATTGCGATAGGACTGGAAAACTAAAACCCGTTAACCTTTCAAAGTAACAGGAATATATTTTATTAAAGTAAACTAAAAATTCCTTTTCATTCTCTGCGGCAAGATTTGGTTCAATTTGATTTGATTCAATAAGATAAGAAATCAATGCATGAGACTCACTCGAAAAGAATAATAAAAAAGGGGATGGTGGTACTATTATTATACTTCGGCTGAAATTAAGAAAAGGAGCTTTTAAATTTCAAGTACTTCTAGGGGCTTTGAAAAGCCTTTGTTTATGCCATACGATAAGACAAACGATTACATTGGTTGAAAAATCGATTTCTGTTATTGCGTAAATTGTTAGCTTCTCAGTCAAAGGGTAGCCTTACAATCACAGCTTCGCCATGATAACTTCATGACCGAACTCTCGTTAAAAAGGCTACCCCGTTTCAGAGTTTTATTTATTTACACCAGCTCCTCCGACGGCCGCTAGCGGCCGTCTACGCGGTGCTAGTTTTTATATGTCCATTGTCCAAGTCCATTATTTCATTAATAACAATATTCAAATTTTCTCAGTTAATAATTTGCTTATTTATATTTGAAATGTTGACGTTTTTTTTGACAATGCAAAATAAGATTTATTATGAGTACTTTCTCTTAACAAAAATAAAATTTATATATTCGCGCTCTTTTTAAATAACATACGACTGCAGCGCCACCTTCACATGTACAAACAATTTTAAAAACACCCTTCTATTAATATTTATTAATTATTAAATATTAATTATTATTAAGTTTGCTTAATATTAATAAATAATTAATAAATATTTATAAATAATAAAAATAATAATTTTTTTTAACTGCCGCCAAAAATCGGCCTGTTCCGACTACAGCGCCTAGTCAACTCTTTGCCATCTTATTTTTAGCAGTTGCATAGATCTGTTTTCGATACATTCGACCTTTCCACTCCATGTCTTTTTTAAGAAAGGATACACTACCGTCCGTGAGTATCAGGACGCCCCTTTTTTCATGAGTGGAAAAATGCTTAAAACGTAGAAAATAAGAATGACAAAAATTTTTCGTATTTTTTTCCTGAAAGCTAATGAAATTATACCACGAACCCCTAACCTAACGCACCGAAGACTTATACACTGACCACTACGCTACGCTCACATGGGAGTGCATTACACAAAATGTATATTAAAGCTGCAACAGTCGGGCCAACCGTGGCCCAGAGTTCGGCCGACCAAGAAAGTTTAAGTCATTTAAACTGCATTTGACAAAGTTTTGCCAACCGTTGGGCCAACCGTGGCCCAGAGTTCGGCCGACCAAAAAACTATAAGTCAATTATACTGCTTTTCTTGAGTTTTGCCAACCGTCGGGCCAACCGAAACTGAAAGTCTTTTAAACTACGTTTTGATGAGTTGTGCCAACCTTTGTCGCCAAAGTTGGCCCGACGGTTGGTTAAACTCTGCATTTAATGGTTGGCTTGCAAAGTCGGGCCAACTGTGGGCACTAGTACTTGCCAAAGTTGGGCAAACTCTGGCAACCAAAACTTCGCTTGCCAAAGTTAGGCCAACCTTGGGCCAACCTTCAAACTCTGGCGGCCAACCTAAATTCGCACCTGGGGTTTAAAACACACATTCGCTCTTTCAGTTTTATTCTTACATTTGTTTTAAATTGTGTGTGTACTTTCGGGCAATAAAAAATAACTTCTTTAACTTTAAATACGTTTTCCAATGATTTTTACCGCCTTGTTCCTAATAGCCCCATTTTCTAATTTCGAAAAAATGCTTTTTTTTGTCTTTTTTGCTTAAAATTTCATCTTTGATCAAGACAATTATTTAACCCTTTAATGTGCTCGCCAAGATCAAGAAAAGAAACAAAAAATTAAGGCAATATTTCAATACACAAAAATGTTACAAGCCTTTAAAGTTGAAATCCGTTCCTAATAGCCCCAGTTTACGGTACCGTACATTATGTACGGTACCGTACCGTATTTTGATTTGTTTAAAATAAATTGTATTTAAATAGAACTATAAAATGCTGACAAATTTAATTAAATCGGACACACGTATATTTTCTAATTCTGAATTAGTAAAAGTTTTGACTGATTTCTATATTATAGTGAATTACATTGTACTGCAGGTCAGTTAAATTTTACAAATAAATTGATTTTATTAATTAATTAGCAAAATTGAACTAATTTTTAACAAAAAATGAACCACTAATTAGAATTAGTTAAAATGTTTAATAATTCTGATACAAAAAGTACCATTTTCTCCTTATAGCTGATTACTTTGATTGCTTTATCGTTTCGGTTAAATACCAGTACTGTCGTACTACTGCGCCATTTGTAAATTCTTACTTTGAAAATATTAAAAACTTTAAATTTAAACATTAGAAATTTTGAAAAAATTTATTGTTTCTGGTTTTTTAGTTTTAAATATTATTATCTAAATTTTAATATTTTATATCTTGAAAGTATTTTATTTTATAAAAAGCAAATCTTAATGAGGAAGCAAAGTATTCATAACATGAATGAAATGAATACAAAACCTTATATTTTAACTTTGCCTTGTCATTTATAAAATTGTTTAATTTCGGTTAAAAAAGTTTTATCACTATCAATGTATAAAAAATAATAAAAATACCTAGTAACTTATTATCAATTTTTTTAAAACTGAGGCGAAAATATTCTATTCTATTTATAGATACTTAAAATTTCTTTCACGACCAAAAAATGGTCTTTTAATCCTCAAAGAAAAAGAAAAAAACATCTAATTCTTGTGAATATGAAGTATATTATCAAGATAAATCTTGACGCTTAATCATACCGTGCAATTGAAACAGGTATTTGAAAAGTGTAATGTGTTATTGTTGTTTGTAGTTTTCAGCATGCTATATCCAAGGCAATCACCTTGGAACATAAGTAATGTTTACAAAGGATTTTCCACACAAGTTGTATTATAGTGAAATGTTCCAAAATATTGAGTGATAAGCGTTAAAATATTATAATGCAATATTACATCAAGATATGTATATATGTATATGCTTATATAAACATATTCGCATGCACGACAGTGTGTGAAGTGCAATTGGGCAAAAATATCGAGTGCCGAAAATTTTCACAACAAAGTTTTTTAATAAAAATTATCATGTGTATAGTAGCCTGAAAAAGGGGATAACTATTATGTGCAAGCAAAAATTACCGACGGGAAGTAAAGTTATATAGAGTTCACGTAAGAATAATCGTTCATTGAGATTGATACTCCGCGAAGAGAGATATTTTTGTCCATGAAACAATCACCTTGAAATTTCAGGTTAAAAAAAATATCACATTACAGATACGAACCAATTTAAAAATAAGCCAATTCACTTTTTTCATTGGCACAATCACTATGGCAAATATAATTATTAAAATCAATTATAATTTCATTAATTAGATGTTATAATTTTTGTTATCAAAACTCGATCAAAATAAATAAATGGATGGAATCGAAATAATTAATCAATAAAATTTGTCATTATAATGTATGTATCTAATGTAAAAATAGAATTAAGGCGATCAATAGCTTTTCTCATCTTAGTAACGAGATTTGGAACAATGAATTGATTTTTTATTTAAAACTCATCGCTAAAAATATTAAATTTTATATTGGATGGAGTTCAATCTCGAATTTTTGATATGACCTCAATGAACGATTAAGATTTTGTGATTAAATCTTTGACGAATAAATTTATTTATTAATTTTTTGAATTCATTCAATTTTTAAAGTATTTGTTGCTTTTATTTATATAATTTTTGTTTTCGTTTTTTCGTCAAAAATTTGTAAGAGAAAAGTTTGCAGCTAAAACAGTGTGAAGTGACATCGATTATTTATTATAAGGGTGCCTTTCGAATAGCCAAAGAGGTTGTACCTCTGGATCCTGAGGCTGCTCGTAATAGTCGGCGGAAGCTGTTGTCTTCAGGATGCTGTAGAGTTTAACGTATGGAGCCTTGATCAGCTGCGATACGAAGGCAACCCCAAATGTCAATTTTATATCTCTTTACATAAATTGCTAAAAAGTTTTCGCATTAACGAAATTGTTTCTGTCTCTTGCTTATCAAATTTTGGTTTAACTTTTCTTTAAAGAATTAGTAGATAATAAATAGTCAATAATAAATAACCTATTGATGTATAATATTATGTAATAATAATTAATAATAATAGTTTAACTTTACCAAGAAAATAGAAATAAGACAAATTTCTATATATTCACTATAATTTTAAAAAATAACACAGTGGAACACCAAAAAATGGGTTAAGATTTGACTGTAATGGGATGAAAGTACTACCCCCGCAGAGTAAAATCCCCAAAGGATTTTGAAAAATTAGCGTCTGTTTGATTTTTATTGTAATTTTAAGTTTTGATAATTCAGTAGTTTATTGAATAATCGCTCTAATCAACTTTTGGTCAGTAAATAAATAACAACAATAACTTCTTACTTTCTTGAATAAAATTGTAGTTTTTATTCCAATAAACAAATTTTATTAACGAACTACATATGGTTAAAAATTACCTTTAAGTAATGTTTTGGGGGAAATTATTCGATTTTTCTCAATTTTTTCACACTACGCCGCAAAATCTTACATTTTTTTATTTAAATTTTAACTGAAACGTTACTGAAATTAAAATTAAATAACTCTTTTGAATATTTAAACAAAAAATGTTACTCAAGTCGGATTAGTGTCTATAAATTCCGTTTAAGAGACTAAAATTTCAATGTTTTAAGGTTTTTGGTCTATTTGGAGAAAAATAGCAGTATATATTTTTCTTTAACTTTATCACTTCAAATTATAATGTCAACTTTTTATTTTAATGTAGTGTATAATTTAAGTGACATTATTTCAAAGGTGATTCGAAATCAGTACAAAAGTACTAAAATAGAAAAGTTGTCAAAAATGCACGATTTACTGATCGAAAGCTGATTAGAGCGATTATTTAATAAATTACTGAATTAGCAAAACTTAAAATTACAATAAAAATCAAACGGCTGCTAATTTTTCAAAACCCTTTAGGGGTTTTACTCTGCTAGGGTAGTACTTTCATCCCATTATAGTCAAGTCTTAACCCAAAAAAATTGTTCTAAAATTGTTCTAAACTTGTTCCACTGTGTAATTAATATTTTTTTCTGTGAAAAATCTATACCTGCATAGCACATTATCTTGATGTAATGCTTACTAGCGATATTCGTCAAGTTCGTCATTAAACTCAGAGCAACTGTGATATGTCCGCATCATAACAATGTAGAATCACTGTAAGCTTACACCTTAAGTTCAACGTAAGCTTACATGCAAGATTACCGTAAGCTTCCATCAAAGGCTCGCTTGAAGTCTACACTATAACCTTACTGTAAACTTACAGTGTAATCTTACGTTGTAAGCTTCCAGTGAGCCTTAAATGGAGGCGTAAGTTGACCTTTGAATTTATAATCGAGGGTTTTTGGGGTCGCCGATTATGAATACGGTGTTAGTTTTTCAAAATTAAAAAGGACGGATTCAATATGGCCGACGACTTTTTCAAAAATCGATCTAATTTACTTGAAACTCATTACTCGGCGGCCGCTGATTAGAAACACAAGGTCAGGTTTTCATAATTTTTAAAATTCAAAATGGCGGATCCAATAGGAGGACGACTTTTTCAAAAATCGATCCAATTTGCCTGAAATTTATATCTCGGGGGTTTTTGGGGTCAGACAAAACACAATAGTAGTGGAACAAAGCAAAGAGTCGGTTTTATGATCCTGCTCCTTAATTATTTAAAATTTTGAAAACCTGACATCGGATCCGTCATCTGCGACCCCGAAAATCAAAGTGTAATGCGTTTCAAGCGAATCTAGATGACTTTTAATTTCTTTTGTCTGCCATCCCTACTAAAAATCCCTGTATAAGATCTTGTACAAGAAAATGCACACGTTCAGCAGCTGAACTTGTACAAGTTCTGGTAAGAACATGTACAATTTCTTGTACCAGGATTTGGAACAAGTTCTTGTATTAGAACTTGTACAAGAAAATGTACGAGTACTTGTACAAGAAAATAAACTTGCACAAGAAAATGTACAAGATCTTGTACAAGTTCAAGTACAAGTATTTGTACATGAACACGTTCATGTTCTTGCACAAGTATATTTATAAATAATTTTTTTTAGAAAATTAGATCAAGTAAATTAATAAATAAATTTTTTTTTTTAAATTGGCATTTTAATAACTTATAAGCATTAAAGACTCTCCACTTTAGGCAAGCCAAAAACTATTGCGCAGCTCTAAAAGCTTATAAAAACTACTGCGCAGTCTTTAATGTTTTTAATTTTTACAACTTAAAAATAATGTTTAAAGAAAATGTACAAGTACTTGCACATGAACCCGTACAAGATCTTGTACAAGATCTTGTACAAAATCTTGTACGGGTTCATGTGCAAGTTTATTTTCTTGTACAAGTACTCGTACATTTTCTTGTACAAGTTCTAATACAAGAACTTGTTCCAAATCCTGGTACAAGAAATTGTACATGTTCTTACCAGAACTTGTACAAGTTCTTACCAGAACTTGTACAAGTTCAGCTGCTGAACGTGTGCATTTTCTTGTACAAGATCTTATACAGGGATTTTTAGTAGGGATATTACATCCGCCATTTTGAATTTTGAAAAACTAACACCGGATTCATAATTAATGGTCCCAAGAACCCCCTAGTATTAAGTTTTAGACAATTTGGATCGATTTAAAAAAATTGTCCGCCATATTTGATCCGCCATTTTGAATTTTAAAAAAGTAACACCGGATCAGCCAGTTTTTAAAAAAAAATTTATCTTTGGGATGAAATTTAAATTTTTTTTATAATTTCTACAATATTTTTAAGAGTATGGATTAATAAAAGAGAATAAAAATTTTCTTAAAATTTATACAGTTTTATCAAATTTTATAATTTTTGCTTCATTATTTTTAATCTCCCTTTATTCGAAGGTGTGTATTTTGAAAGGAGTTCTTTATTTTTAAACGTCAAGTATATGTAGTTGTTGCTCTGCCTGTCCTCTTTAAAATGAGGTGTTTTTGGATTTGATATGTTCATTTTTATTTTTTACGAAAGTTATGATTTTTTGAATTTGGTGTGACATATGTGTCACGCTGTGACTCAAAGGGTTAAAGTGTGAATATCGCTCGTAAGCTCAAGGGTAGTCTCATTTTTTCATTTTTAAAGCCTTCTTAACATTTGGAACAAGAAACAATTTCTAATAACGCAAATGTGAAAAAATGAAGATCAGTCTACATCTATCAATGTCATTAAACAAAATCATTTGAAAATTATTCGAAAATCTAAATTATAAAACTGAGACGAAGAATGAAAAATTAGGACAAAAAAATTAATTTTGCCACAAAAACAATTTAAACACATTGTATCAAAGACGAAGTAGAAAAAAAGTCCACTCACTGAAATGCTGACTTGACTTATTCACATTTTTAAAACAGTAATGAAATGACGAATCTGTTTTAAATATAAGAAAACAAAGAGGAGTTAAGCGAAACTCGTTAATGAAAACTTATTGAAGAAACAAGTTTCTTAATGCGTAGTTTGGGACAAATCATGAAATAAAAAGAAAATGAAATGAATTTGTGATGTCTTCCCGAAAATGTTTCTTCTCCCTTAAATATTCGCGAAAAAATTACATCGGACAATATAATAAATAAATAAAAAAAAAATGATAAGGAGAGAATGTGTGTAAAGAAAGAAAAAGATTTACCTCCCAAGACTCGCGTGTTAAATCGGAAATGTCATCGCTGTCGCTGTTACGATTTTTATCGTCTTCGGGATTTTCACCACCCTCAGTGTCGTGCGGCGATAATTCCGGTGAAAGATCCGTGTCCGTGTCAGATAAAATATAGCCACGTTCTTTCCAATAATTCTCGTCCAGTTCACCGTAAAGCGATGGAACCCAAGCGTGGATGAACTTGTAAAGATCGTCCACTCTGCAAAATAAGAATAATAAATAAATAAATAAAATGACATTGTTCGCTAAATATATAGAAAATGAAAAACAAATTGAAAATAATTAGACAAATGAATTAAGGTCAATAAAAAGGTAATTTAAAAATAATAAAGAGAAATGAAAAAATATTTTGGAATAAAAAATAATAAAAAAAATTGTATAATTGAAAGCGAAACGATTGATGCATTACCTGCGAGTTAAAAACAACTGAGCGTTTCCAACTAAACCCGGTATGTTGAGATAATCATAGAAGCGAGACATTTTCTTGACTGTATAATGATTGTCAACAAAGTCTATTTTGCGAGCAGCTTTAAAATGAATTTACGATGAAATAGAAAAGGATAAAGATATTCTACGACTTCTATATCTATTATTATTGATGCAACTTCAAACTTAATGTATTAAATATATTCCTACACTTGCGCACGGTTCAACGTCATTTGCATTCCAAACTTATAACTATTCAAAATCTCGTCTTTAACATGACTTTTTACTCATGCCACGTGACTTGGATTCATTAATAAATATTACATTAACTCGAAAATCAGTGTCAAGAAAAGCACCAACATTAAATGCTAATTTTATTCTAATTGAGACGAAAATTGCCATTTAAAACGTGAACACTTGTAATCTTATCGCTTCTTAAACATTTTGCAAAATTAATATATTACATTCTTAAAAATATGTGCGCTCTTCTTTCAATACTTACAATAGTACTATGTGAAAACATTCATTCGAGGGGATATTTACTGGTTGAAAACGTGTACACTCCAATACACTTATTACGCTAAAATTACACTTATTACCAAGTATTACAGGACAATACAGAGATATGTCTAGGTATTACACCCACGTAATAACGTACTATTACGCCCTATTACGCGATATTACACGACTATTACAAGAAGAGTGTACATTCCAATACGGGAGTATATACCCCCTCGCATTCATTAATTGTTTCTGAAAAATTTTCTCCAATCTTTTTTCTTTAATTTATTAATCTTCTAAGCTTTTTCTCGTTTTCATGAATTACTTCCCAAATATTCATCCCACTTTTTATGTAGGTAAATTAAAATTGACTTTTTTTGAGAGAAATAACAAAAATTGTTCAGTCATTTCCCGGATCTTCAATTCAGTGGACACCAGATACAAAATAAGTAATTTTTTAAATCTAATGAGAATAAGAATTCTCAGACATTAAAGAATAATTGTAGAATAAAAAGAAACGAAAAATTAGAGAAAATTTTTAAATAAAAATTTTAATTTTTCCGGTGATAAATAATTATTGTCAAAGGACAAATTGTGTGAGATAAAATTCTTTTAAATTTTATCTGAGTTAAAACCTCTATAATCAGAAAACGATTGAAATTACTCTTAAATTGTTAGTGGTCAGCACTAATTGCACCTGATGACGTCATTTCTATAAAAAGAAAAGAAACTTTTTCACAGCTGCTGCTACTGGAAGTTTATTTTAGTTAAAATTAATTCTAAAACTTGTTGACACGCGCGTTACAATAAATATTACAGTTAAGCGTGAATACGAGTTATTTGTTCTATAATTGCGAATTGTGGAAAAAATTTGAGAAGAGAACAGTTAACTTTGCTGCTTATTACGTGGCTAACTGATTGTACGCAGGTAAACAGACCTGACACTCTCACAAGCTCTTTTTATAATTTATAGGTACGTGTGAATCGCGCCAACTTTAAAAAACTTCTGACAAGGATAAAAAGATCTTATTGTATACTAAAAATGGAAAATAAATTATTTTAAAAAATAATAAAATATAATATAGATAAAAATTTATGTTTATCTTCTTTTATTTAGATATTATTATTATTTCCATCAAAATTATAACCATTGAAATTGTTGAAAAATGCTTGAAAAAAGCTTGAAATTATTGAAATTTTAATAAGACTTTGAATGCGAGAAAAAAAGAAATTCATTACAACGCAAATCAGAAGATAAAATAACAGTAAACGAATAATAAAAGAGACGGAACTCATTAAATGAAACAAAAGAAAACAAAACTCATAGTGAAGAAGATGTATGAGCATAAAATGAGTAAAACGATTGTGAAAAAAGGGAGTTTAGAACAAAATGAAAAATGAGAAAATTTCCCCATCTTACCTGTTGCGTGGAACACTGAACCAGTATTCAGGTCGCAATTTCTTTTTCCCATAGCTCATAATTGGAGTTGATCTCGGGATTTTCTTGTCCTTTGGCCTTCCAGTTCGAAGCCTCAAATATAAAGGTGGATCCTCGCACGATCGTGCCGGTCGTGGAATTAATTCTATTTGTAAGAAAAAAAGACAAGAAGAATAAATATTTTTTTCTATATGCAAATTTTTTAGTAAAAAAAAGGTAAATTTCAATCAGTAGCGCATTAGCTTAAAAATAATTCACTGAAGCTCACGCAGCTTTCCACAAAACGTCCACCGAAAACTTGAACAATTCGCACAGAAAAAGACAAAATAAAAAAGAATTACATTGATTGAATTAACACACGTTTCACCAAATAAACCAGCTTATTTAATTAATGTACGTGTAATAAAAAAATACTTCCTCTGTGAAGAAACAAAATGTGAAAAAAATTTATTCATATTTGCAAAACTGAAGGGACAGTTAATAAAATTGTTTTTCGAAGAAACTTAAGCATATGACGAAAAAGTAGAAAGAGTATTAAATATGTAAAGATACAAATAAAACATTAAAAAATAATGTTTTTTTTATATTTTTTAATATTTAAACTTTGAATGGCTTCATAATTAAACAAAATTGTTAATAATTACTACAATTAAATTACAATAAAACTAAAAAATATAATAACTTTTTAAAATAATTATAAAAGAATTACAATAGGAACATTTTCCGTTTTCGCATTAAGTAAAAATTCCTGAAGTGCCCCCCCCCCTATTTTCGCAAAGTTGCAAAATTTAAAATAAGTATTTGTATTTGAAAGTACCAGTATCTGGTAATATTTTCACGGAGTATTTTAAAAATATTTAAATTATTTATATTTTTTATTGTTACTTAAATATTTATGAACCCTTATAATAAAATAATTTTAACTAATTGAGTTTTTCCATAAATTAAACAAAAATTTATGGTTATATCAGTGAGACTTTCAAATAGGTAATAAAATAAAAAATTTTTTAAATTATTTTTTTTATGTTTTAATAATTTTGTTACAAACAAATGCAGTTTAAAATGCTTTCCACACGCGATTAAAAAAATTTTTTTTCTAAACGTTCTTTACAATGTAGGTAAACTTGATTTTTAAATATTAATTGTTTATAATTTTTTTAATTTTAAACAAATTAATACAATTTTTTAAAAAAGGCTTTTTATTTTCCTATTCCGTTATTGCACATGGGGTCAAACCATTATATTTCGAATAAAGTCGTTGCGGCATAATTTTTAAAAAAATTGATACTTTTAGAAATGAATCTGTTTGATCTCTGAAGAACGAAATGAAAAAAATTATGTTAAAATATTTATTACTTTTCTTAAAAAAGGAGTGTAAAGTGGAGAAGGTGCGGAAAAATATCACTTTTTCAGCAATTAGAAAATATTTAAAAAAGCATAGAAAAATTCTTAAAAATGCATCAAGATTTATTGATTCATGTTTAAAATTAGTTGATTAATTATTTTTTAATAATAAAACTAGTGACAATGTAAAAATAATAGATAAAATATGTTTTTAAAGTCGATCCGCCAAATAACCTAATTTTGACGTTTTTATCAATTAATTACGGGAAGGTGGAATTATTGAATTAAATAAAAACTCACCGAATATAGAGTATTTTTGATGAACTTTCAGGATTTCTTATAGCTAATTAATTTTTCTTTTAAATATACAAAAAAACAAAAAAAAAACATGAATCAATAAATCTTGATGCACTTTTAAGAATTTTTCTATGCTTTTTTAAATATTTTCTAATTGCTGAAAAAGTGATATTTTTCCGCACCTTCTTCACTTTACACTCATATTTTAAGAAAAGTTAAATATTTCAACATAATTCTTTTCATTTCGTTCTCCAGAGATCAAACAGATTCATTTCTAAAAGTATCAATTTTTTAAAAATTATGCCGCAACGACTTTTTTCGAAATATAATGGTTTGACCCCATGATCTAATCTAAATCAGTTCATATTAATCCAATATGACCATCAGACAATTAATAAATCATAAAATAATGTATTTAAATTGTTATAAACAATATTAATTAACAAGTAGTTAACTTTTGTTCCTCTTCACCAAAAAATTATTTTTTTCACGTTTACTTTTTTATTTAGGTTCATTTAAAAAATATAAGAATGTAAGTATGACTACTTATTTTAAATAGGCTGTGAAATTAAAATAAATACTTATACTCTCATTCTTATATTAATCAAATAAACCTAAAAAAAAGTAAACGTGAAAAAAAATTTTTAGTTCAGAGAAATCAAAGTTAACTATTTGTTAATTAATATTGTTTATAACAATTTAAATAAGTTACTTTTTAAACAAAAAAGGACACATATTCTTGAAATGAACTTAAATTAAAAAGAAAATGTGGAAAAAAACATTTTTCAATGAAGAGGAATCAAAGTTATCTATTTGTTAATTAATATTGTTTATAACAATTTAAATAAGTTACTTTTTAAACAAGAAGGACATATATATTCTTGTAAATTTGTAATGAACTTAAATTAAAAAGAAAATGTTAAAAAAATCTTTTTTTAGTGGAAAGGAATCAAAGTTATCTAGGTATTTGTTAATTAACATTGTTTACAACAATTTAAATAAGTTATTTTATGTTTTATTAATGGTCTAATGGTCACATTGGATTAATTTGAACTTATTTAGATCATGTGCAATAACGGAATATGAAAATAAACGTCTTTTTTTTAAAAATTGTATTAATTTGTTTAAAATAAAAAAATTGAGGGCGTGGATCGGATAACTGCCTGCTACGCATGGTTGAAAGGGACTATACCAGTCAGACAACAGTGAGCGCCTCTATAGGCTTCTCACTGATGGCTGACTGGTACGTCCCTTACTCCCTTTCGATCATGCGTTGCAGGCAGTTATCCGTTCCACGCCCTCAATTATAAACAATTAATGGCTTTCGTCAGACTTTCTTTAAACTTTGCATTTTTGCAATGCATAATTTTTTGACCGTATCAAATTATAAATATATTGAAAGATGAGAGAATAAAAAAATATTAATAATAAAAAAAAAATTATAAAAATTCAACTAATGATATACAAAACCGTGAACGTGTCAACAGCGCAGCGCGCGAATGTATAGAAAACTTATAATAATAGACCTATCTTATAGAAGAAAATGAAAAACTGTACACTGCAAAAAGAAGTATCTTAATTTAAGATGTTTTGGTAGTCATTTCTAAGATGTTTTGGTAGACACTTTTTAGTTACTTGAAACATCTTAATTTAAGATGTTAAAAGTATCTTCGTACACATTTTTTGTGTATTTTTGGGGCAAAAAGTTTTGAGGTTAACTATGGGCTCTTATATGGAAAACACTTTATGTATCTTAGTTTTTAGTACTTATGGCGCATCTTACGATTCTCAAGTAACTTATCGCTAAACATCTTATTGCAACAGAAACATCTTAATTTAAGATACTTTAAAGAACTTACCAAAGTATCTTACTTTTCTAAGATGGAAGAAATATTTTCATCACTGCTAAAACGTATAAGGCATCTTAAATATCAGTAAGATGCTTTAGAAAACATCTTATTTTAAGATGTAAGATACCATTTTTCCATCTTACATCTTATTTTAAGATATCAAAAAAGACTCCTATTTTTGCAGTGTATATTTAAGTTTTCATAACATTGATAATTATATATATAATAAATTAATCTTTTCGATTTTTGGAAGACGTATAAAAGGTAAAAAAAAACACTTTTTATAATACGTCTTCCAAAAATCGAAAAAATTAATTTATTAAATAATTGTAGAAGAATTTACTGAATATTTAATTGATATACGTGCAGTAAATAATTGCTTCCTCATAGAGGAAGTATTGTAATACCAAAATTTTTCGAGTTCGACTTTTTGACAAATCTTTATGTTATTTGACCTCAGGAGTTCAAAAATGACATTTTAAAAAAATGTCATTCCGTGTGTGTGTGTGTGTGTGTGTGTGTGTGTGTGTGTGTGTGTGTGTGTGTGTGTGTGTGTGTGTGTGTGTAAACATCACATTTTCATAGATATCTCAAAATCATGAAGAGCTTTTGGGTTGAATTTTTTTTTAAATTGTAAATCTCACCTACGTACATAAAATGAGAATACTTTGAGATAGATTAATAAAGTTTAACTAAATTTTTTTTTGATTTTTAATTTTTCAAAAAAACGTTTTTTGCCCATAACTTTAAAAAAATGTTAAGACACCTATAAATGTTTTTCCATAATTTTGTAGAGTTTTTTAAACGCATCTTTTGAGCCCTAATTGAACATTTTTCGTCCATATTAAGGGGATTTGAACCTTGATGACGTCACAGTTTGTGCAAAGCATTAGTTTTAAATCTGTGACGTCATCATGGTTCAAATGCCCTTAACCGGAGATATTAAACTTTTAAAAATCTAAAATTTTGGAAAATAAGACTTTTTTGGAAATTTTGTTGAAAAATGTTAAAGTAACTTTAAAATTATCATTAGCAACTTGTAGAGCATTAAAAAACGCTTCGATTGACCTATTTTTGAACCTAATTCGATAATAAATTTCGAAATTATTGGTATTTTAAAAACCAAAAATTGTGGGAAATGACATTTTCTCAACTTTTTTGTTTGAAAATTTTTGTTTAACTATTATACTATTATAACTATTGTAGGATATTTAAAAAACATTGATTGACCAAAGATTCAATCACTTTTACCATATTTATAAAAAGTTATTCATTTATTTTTATTATTATTATTATCTCTATGAGGAAGCAAAGTGTTCATGAAATGAGCACCAAAAATTATAAAAAAAATATACAACTTGGCACCGGTTTTTATATTTGTTGCAAATATTAATTATAAAGAATTCAAAATTTGTTTAAGTGAATCATACCTATTTGAATATTTTGTGGATGAACATTTACATATTAATAATATTATTAACTGTCAGTCTAATATTTTTTAAAGGTTTAAGCCCCTATTATTTAATACCCCTATTTTTTTAAATAAAAAAAATATTTAGAGGTCGCTCAAAGCGCTCACAGTTTCCCATGTAAAATGCATGGGGAAAAAACACTTTTTCGTAGAATTGGTATAGAATCCTTGAAAATCAATATTTTTCATTCAGCAAACTCTGTTTCTCTTCAGAAGACTTCAAAGAATAATGCTAAATTATTTATTTAATCATTTTTTTAAATTAACTATTTTTTATAGTACTCCAAAAAACCCCATAAATTTCAAAATTACAAAAAAATCGTTAAAAAATATTTTTTATTATTTTTATCAAAGTTTTTTCCTAGATTATGAATAAATAACACAAATATTGATTTTTAAACATTATTCCATGTAATTGCTAATTTGTTTAAAAAACAATTATTATTGTTTATTTACAACTTTTTATCAAATTGAGCTAAAGAGTTTCGATTTTTTCTCAATTTTCCAACTTTTCAGGCCGAATGTAACCAGTCACTATCAACTAACTAAGAATATTAATTTTACCAAGTGTTTAAACAAATTACTATTGATTAATTTTATCTTTTTATCAAAATGAGCTACAGAGTTGCAACTTTTTTTTAATTGTACATTTTATTTTTTTTGTGAGGTAATAATTAATGTAAGACTTAATTATCGAGTAAAAATTGTGAACAATAAATTTATTATTATAAAAATTTTAAGTACAAAAATTTTTATTTACGTTATTGAAATTACTACTGCGATAGCTTCAAATTTAAAATAACAATTTGTTTAAACAATTCGTAAAATTGTAATTCTTAGATTGTTGTTAGTAACTAGTTACATTTGGCTTGGAAAAATACAAAATTGAGAAAAAAATTGCGACTCTGGAGCTCAATTTGATAAAAAGATAAAATTGAACAATAACAATTTGTTTAAACAATTGGTAAAATTAATATTCTTAGTTAGTTGATAGTGACTGGTTACATTCGGCCTGAAAAGTTGGAAAATTGAGAAAAAATCGAAACTCTTTAGCTCAATTTGATAAAAAGTTGTAAATAAACAATAATAATTGTTTTTTAAACAAATTAGCAATTACATGGAATAATGTTTAAAAATCAATATTTGTGTTATTTATTCATAATCTAGGAAAAAACTTTGATAAAAATAATAAAAAATATTTTTTAACGATTTTTTTGTAATTTTGAAATTTATGGGGTTTTTTTTTTGGGGTACTATAAAAAATAGTTAATTTAAAAAAATAATTAAATAAATAATTTAGCACTATTCTTTGAAGTCTTCTGAAGAGAAACAGAGTTTGCTGAATGAAAAATATTGATTTTCAAGGATTCTATACCAATTCTACGAAAAAGTGTTTTTCCCCATGCATTTTACATTGAGCGCTTTGAGCGACCTCTAAATATTTTTTTATTTTCAAAAAAAATAGGGGTATTTTTTTCTCCATATAGAACAATCCTAGGGGGTGAGAGCATTAAAATTACGATTTTATTTTTTTCCCATGTATTTTTGGACCACCCTAATGTGGAACCAGCCAACTTCAATTGATACGTATTAATATTCCCACCGGTTTTCTTAAAAAATATAAAATAAATTTTGACAAAATATAAGGAAAATGGTATTTTATTTATAAACGCATGGGTACACATGGGTATCTAGTTATTCATTTGAGGCTAAACTTTGCTTGAAAATATTATTTTTTAAATGAAAAGTTTGATATTTTTCAAGAAAAAAAGACAATCGAATACAAATTGACATTAAGGATTGAGGGGGTATATACTCCCGTATTGGAATGTACACTCTTCTTGTAATAGTCGTGTAATATCGCGTAATAGGGCGTAATAGGGCGTAATAGTACGTTCTTACGTGGGTGTAATACCTAGACATATCTCTGTATTGTCCTGTAATACTTGGTAATAAGTGTAATTTTAGCGTAATAAGTGTATTGGAGTGTACACGTTTTCAACCAGTAAATACCCCCTCGTTAAGGATGTACAGTAGGTTTCAATTATTCCTTCTTAGTTTGAACGTGTCGCACTCATATGTTTCCATGGGAACATATGAGTGCGACACGTTTATGCTAGGAAGGCATTTTTGAAACCTACTGTACGTGCACGTTTTTTTTTTTTTTTGCACTTTTTTTTACACATATCAAAAGTTGTACGTAAAAAAAAAATTTCTTGCAAAGTTTGGAGTCGGTTTACTACGGATTTATTGAATAATACGAATTTTAAATTATAAACTTTTAACATTGATGTGACAGTAACAAAAAAAGTTTTTTTCTGAAGTATGAATATATCCAATATGAAAAATCTCATTTTGAGGTTTATATTTTTGTCAGGGAAAGTCGCGCACGTTCATCCTTAAAACAAATGAAGAAATTTATATTTTTCTATTTAAACATTCATTTTTTTACATTAAAATTACTTTATTTGTACCTATAATAATAATTAGCTATAATTTATTGAATAAAATTAATAATTAAAAATTGAGTATAATTAGTTGGTGATTAATTAATTTCTTCAGTACGATAATCTTTTGGACAAAAAGAGTTAAATAATGCTTAAGTGAATTGAAAATACGCTACTGATAGAGTAGGCTACAATTTTCTAAAAAAATACCTGCTGACGATCAAAGAACGAAAACAATTTTCTCGTCTTTGCTTATGAAAGATGTAATAGAAAATTGTCTCGTTCGGCAATTACTTTTCGTTAATGTTCAAAAACAATAATTTAATAATGACTTATTATTTATGAAACATTATTTGTATTTGTATTTGTATTTGTATTTTTTTTGTATTTGTATTTACTTTTAAAATATAAATTAAATATATGATTAAACAGATATTATATATTTTTGATTTTCATTAATTAATATATTAATTATAGTACAGTTTATTTAAATATTTTTAATTTTGTTAATCAAGCCGCTACAAATTTTAATTTTCAATGTTAATTACAGTGTCTACAAAAATCATTAATTTAATACTATCTTACGTGCCCTTTAAATGTAATGAATATTAAATTCTTTATTCGAAAAATGATAAATGGCTAACAATAAGTGGAAAAATAATGATAATACACATTTCCATAAAACGTAGATTGTGATAATGATAGAGTGAAAGCAGAAAGCAAAGATGCCCGAAAACTCAAAGAAAATCTCAATTTGAGCAAATTAAAAATAAATATAAATATAGCTACATATATGAGATAAAATTGAGAACAAAGCATAAATTTTGTCATAAAATGTCAATTACAAAATATACTCCAAAAAGCGTTAAAATAAAAAGTATGCACACGAAGCTTAAAAAAGAAGAACAGAATAGAAAATAATGAAAATATGAAAAAGAGACAGAAAGCGAAATTTTCTGAAACGCAAATCGCGAAAAAGGAGGGGAATACAAATGCAATTACAATATGAACCTACCGAGGCCTTCAAGTTCGGGAAAATTAGGTGCTTGGACTAGAGGGACAACAGAAACAGATGATATTTTACCATTAGTATGAAATACAAAGATTCCACTTTTAATTATTAATAATAATAATGAAATTTGATGATGAAATGATTTTTGTAATTTCTATCAATGAAAATGAATTTTGCAAATGATTTTCACTCCAAGATGAAAAATGTTTCCAAATCTAAAAAATGATTTTGCACACGTTTTTTTCTCATTATTCTCAAATTGAATATAATTAATTAAAAACAAGGTTTTTATAGTTAGTAAATAGAAAGAAATTATCTGATTTAAAATTTAAATAAGAAAACGAAACTTGACAAAGAGTTAAAAAAATTCCACACTAGCTTTATTGAAACTTCAAAAGCACATTATTATTTCATTGTTTGAAACAAAAAAATAATAAGAATCATAAATGCGTCAGAGGATCTAATCGTGAAAAACTGTTTAAGATTGGAATAAGAAATAGAAAAATAAGAAAAAAATTGTAAATGAAAAACTCACTGTCAAAACTGACGAAAAGTTCGGGCATGTCATCGACGGACACCATGCTACGATAATCCAATTTTGGTGGTACTGTCGAGGCTTTACTTCCTCGATTACTATCCACACTGCTGCTCCCCGAAGATGTCAATGGCTGTTGGCGAATAAACGTCCCAACCGAAGATCGTCTGCAAAAAATAAAAACTTAGTATTTTTTCCTTTTTTAACAATCGAACAAACAATTGCGCTTAAAAATTACGATTCTATCACATATTTTCTACTCTCAGTTTGATAAAATAGAACGAAACAATAACAAATTGCATAATAAACATTAAATAAAAAAAGTGAAATGAAAATTGTAACATTTATCTTGTTGTGCGTTTACTATTTTCTTTTATTATTTTTCCATTCTAAAATTAATTTAAAAAAACTTCTAATTTAATTTAATTTAATTTTCAAATTTATACAAATTTTTTAATCAATTTTCTTTTAAAATAATTTAATTCTGAAAATAATTTAACCTTTATTTGCCACACCTTTGTAGGTCCATTGGACCCCAATTTGGAAAATTGTTATAAAAAAATCTATTGACATATTACAAAAAATATTGTCGCTAAGTGGTTCATTAAATGAAGAGTTTTATGATAAAAACGAAGAAAAATAGGCCATTGAACTCCTCAGTGGCAAATAAGGGTTAATAATTGTTAGTTGCAACTTCTTTTGATAAAAATTTTGTCAAATTACGAAAAAGATTAGTGACCAACCACAAAAAATTCAAATAAATAGAAATTTTGCAAATAAAAATTTCATTTAGTAGAAACTTTTGTTTCTACTAAAAGTTTATCCTGAGGTCATTAATTTTAGATCGTAAACATCGGCCCTATATCATTAAAGAATAAGTAAGTGACAATAATTTTAAAGACTCGTAATTTGTAAGCTCACTTAAACAGCTTGACGACACTGAATGGACAATGACTGAACAAATTCAATGCCAGCGAGAAACAGTAAAAATAAATTGCAAATTCGTACGCAAAAAAGCTGTTTTACTGTGTCAGCCGTGTCAGTAAGCTAAAAGAAACTGCAATAGTTGCAAGTGAAGTTTCTTTTAATTGTAAACCTTTCCTAAACAGTTAAAAGTATAAAATGAGTATTTACTCATGACATGTCATTTAAGTATTTGTTGGTTCATTTATTTTTTATAAAATAAGTAAAACGTTACGCAAATGAAAGATATTTTTTTTAATAAAGTAAGTTGAATAACATTTTGAAAATTAATTGTAAAACTTTCTTTATCTTAATAAATTATTGCAATATTACAGTTCAATTTCACAAAATCATACACTCAATTGATTCAATTTTTTAAATTAAAAAAATTGTCTTCACTTGTAAATAATGCGTAAGCAAGAACCTAGTGTAAGCGCATTGAATAACGAAAAGAAAAAATGTCCTGTACAATCGTTGTTTTCCTGTGTATTTCCAAGTATTTCCAGTTTTTATAATTATGGTGAACGAAAAACTTATAACAAAGCCGAATGAAAAAGAAAAATTTTAAATGACGGTAAGAACAATGAGGAATTTTTATTACATTTTACGATTACAGTACAAAAAGTCCAAAATAAAAGGTCCAAGACAAAATGTCCAAGCCGAAAGGTCCAAAGAAAAAAGATCCAAAGTCTGGAAAGTCCAAAGTATTTAAAGTCCAAAAAGTCCAAAACGAAAAATTTTTATTTAAAATTAAGGCACAAAGATTTTGTTAATTAGTTAAAATTTCAAAAATGTAGAGTGTCCAAGTGCTTCCATGTAAGACAAATGTCGATCTTCTTCATTGTAAACTTGATATCGTGAAACAATGCTAAAAATGTTATCTTCTGTAATTTGGAAAGAATTTCGCGGTAAGTTCCTCACTCAACGTGTAAATAACGAGTTTTCCTCATTATTATAACTTCCGCTTCTAAGTTATCCATTTTAGAAAAAAATAACACAAAAATTTAAAAAAACGAAATAAATTGCAATTGACAACACGAAAATTTGAATGTAAACGATGTAAACAGCATGAAAAATTTTGTGAAACTAAGGTTACGCGTGAAACAACATCATGTCAAACAAAAGACAGCGGAATAAAATATTTGTTTTCTGCTTAAATTAAATTATTAATATTAATTAGGTATTATTTAAATAAAATTATTTTTGACTTTTCCTTTTTCGGATTTGTTATTTCGTATACCTTTTGAACATTTAGACTTTTTGTACTTTGGAATTTCTAATTATTTGGACCTTTTGTACTGCTATTACATATGTTGATAAATTGATGGATTCGAAATTCTAACCGAATAGAGCTAATTCTTAAGGAGACCTTTAATTTAGAATATGATAAAATAATAATTTCCATAATAAAATTCTTAAATGTAAAAATAAAGAACAGCTAAAAGAAACGAGAAGTCGGAAAAAATAAAAAGGAAAAAAGTATCCTCATTTTTCTTTCCTCAGGGCAAGTTGATGATAGTTGAGTCTGATATGAGGCGATGAGATTTAAACAAAACATGGGAGGGAGGGTGGAAGGGGAAAAAGGGACGAACAAGGGATTTACTGGACGAAGTTTTTGAGGCGAAACTCACCCCATAAGACTTGAAGAGATATGAGGATTGCCGAAGGCGTCCTGAGAGAGTGTGGAGGCAGTGAGTGGAGGGGTTCCTCCAACTCGACCACCTCCGCCGCTCTCTTCGCTGGGGGTTTTAGCGAATAGGCCCGAGCTAAAGTCACTCACCAGGTTGATCGGCGAGCTTTAGTCCACCACCATTTACACATTCTTAGTTATTCACAAGATGAATAATTTCCACAGTACTTAAGCATTAATTGCCCGCATTTTTATCAACAAAATACATAGACACTTCTCATTTCGTTTGCCTTCGCAAATATTATTCTTACCAAACATTTATATTTTAATCCTTTTAAACTATTAATTACCTATGATAATTAATAATAATTATATTAGTTAATTTTACTCTAAACTGAAAATATTCTTTTCTTTCAAACCAACTGCATTAGATCTAGTTTAGAAATTAATTGAAAAATTGGACACATTTATTACAAATTATAAAAATATTGGAAAATTAAATTTTTTATGCGGAAGAAAAATAAAGTAACTTTTATTACTTTCATATTAAAATTTAAATTGTCAGGAATTTATGCTCCTTTCTAGTAATGTTTACTACTTCTGAAGGAGATATTAGTAAAAATTAATAAAACATAATTCGATCATAGCAAAGTTTACTCCAAAAATAATTTACTATTTGTAAATAGTAAAAGTTACTCTATATTTCGTTTTGGCTATTTTAATATATTATGTATGTATTTTTATCAATACAAGTTAAAAATAATGAAAAAAAATTGTGGCGTGCGAAACCAAATGAGATGCATCTTAAAATTGCTTATCGGCTTGCAGCGAAGTTAATCAATTCAAATGAATTTGATAATCGCTTCATGCATTTCAAAATTTAATTAAAATGTTGACTTCGTGTCTCGTTCGATGCATTAATAAAGAGAGCAATTTAAAAGGCGAAGCCTATGTCTATATATAGAGAAATAATTCGAACGAGAACGAATTTTACGAAATTTGCACGAGTGATTAGAGAAAAATAAAAAAAAACAAAAAAGCAGGAAAACCTCACCTGGAAAATACTTTGCTGAAAACGGAAGAATGTTGACTGTCAGCGCTATTTGGCAGACTTGACAATTTTTCACTCGATCTACTGTCCTCTTCTTTGTCACCTGTTAGGCCCTCCATCCAAGTCAATGGATATGAAAGTCGTTTCAACATCTGCAAACGTAGTTAATGAGAGAAATGAGAAAGTATTTTTAATTATCATTTATAGTCAAGTTTTTGACAAAAATTATCTTTCTTATTTGGTTTATTTGTCATTTTCAGTTCATGTATAATTTTAAGTTTACTGTTTTCTTGTAGTTTATTTCAGAGATGGCTTCATAATTATATAGTCTACCCAGGTAAAAATGATTCGTACGAATTTCGTTCAGAAATCCGACCAAATTCGTACAGAATTCGTATGAATTTACTAGTAAAATTCGTGTGGTGTTTTAAAACGTTTTTTCGCACGAATATTCGTGCGAATAATACCCGAATTTTTAATATGGATTTTCAAAAAACAAATTTCGTTCGGAAATTCGTATGGAAATTCGCACGGAAATTCTTTTGATAATTTAATTAAAAAATTTTCGGCTAATTTTCTTAACAAATTCCGTACGAAATTCGAGCGAATAACTAACGGATTTCTTTTGGAAAATTTTTTAAAAATCGGAAATTCGTACAGAATTCCGCATGAAATGCCAGCTAAAAATTTCTTTTAAAAATTTTCGGCCAAATTTCCATTCGAAATTCAAGCAAAATTCGAGCGAATTACCACCGAATTATTTATGGAAAATTTTTAAAAATTTCTTCTCGGAAATTCCCTATGGAAATTCGTACTGTAATTTTATAAATAATACAGTAAAATGATGTTCATTGAACGATTTAAACTTACAAGTAAAGTCTTTCTGTTTTGAAATTGATAAATAAAGCAAAATGTTTGTGTCCTCCCAAAATTTTGTTTCTTGAATTTCGTTATTTATTTGTATATTATATTTAATAAATTGGATTCATTAATTCTTTATTTCAAATATTAAAATAAATTTTAAGTATTTAAAGAAGGAACAAATTATACGAGGAAAGAATAAACGGAAGCAGAGAATTTTTTATCATTTCTGTTAAATTATATTTCTTTTAAATAAAAACTCGATTAAATAGAAATTTTGTAACATTAAAACTTTTTTAAGACCTGATACACTGATACACTTCTCACGTAATAGTCATGTAATAGTCACGTAACAGAGTGTAATAGAGCATTATTACGTCAGTGTAATACCACATAATATAGAGGTAATATTCTGTAATAATCAATAATACCCTGTAATAGTTCTGTAATTCCCTGTAATACTGGATAATACGCGTAATAGCAGGAAAATTTAGTGTATTAGAGTGTACACCATTTTAATAAGTAATTACCCTCTCGGAACTTATAGTGAGCTGATATTTCCTTGAAATGAGGTTTTTTTATTTAATTTCTATTAATGAATTTAAAATTAAAGAAGAAAAAAGACTTATATTTTCATCTTCTTTTTAAATTTTTATATTCATACCTTATTTTTCCTTGTCTCTTGCTTATCTTCCTCCTTGTGCTCGTCGTCCTTTTCAGCCTCTTCGGCATTACTGTCTAAACTGAATGACACGGAACTTGCCTTCTTTCTACAAACACCGGAATCAGCGTCAAGTGTTGTTGTGACATTCGTCGGTGCAATTGTAATCGGTGGGACCCAGTCTGTTGAAAGAACAATGTCCGCGTCAGAATAAACTTTTTTCGAAGGAATTGGTTGCACAACTGGAAGAGGAGGATTTGGGTCGCGAATATCGATACCAGAATCGTGGCACGATTGCTTGACTAGAGAACCTTCCTCCTCAGGAATGGAATTTGGTTTTGTTCCATCCACCTGCAAATAAAACATTTAATAAAAAGTCTGTCATTTTAATTTAATTATGCATAGAATCAATAAATTTATCAATAAAATTTCCCGTTCAAAAATAGTCAGTTTGTTTTTCATTCAAATAATTATTATTAAGGCACCTCTCACCTCTACTGCCTGCCGCAACGAGAGTAAGAGAGAAAAAGATTTAATTTTCTTTAAGTTTTCTAAACTCAGCAATTAAAAAATCACTTTTAAAAAATGTCGCTTTGTGTGTGTATACATTTTCAAAATTCTCGATTTTCTATAAAAGCTACAGGGATGAACTTTCTTTTAATTGCAGATCTCATTGAGGGACATAGAATCAATAGTCTTGAATTTTAATTGATCAAGTTTAATCATGTTTTTTCGTGTTTTACAATTTTTCAAAAAAAAGTTTTTGCAAATATTTTTAAAAAAGTGTATAAGCATTTAATCAAAAAGTTTAAGAAAATCATTACTCGGGGGTTTTTGGGGTCGCTGCTTACGAATCTGACATCAGTTTTTCAAAATTCAAAATGGTGGATCCAATATGGCGGTCGAAAATTTAAAAAGTTGTGTTAAACTTCTGGAAACATATTAGATAGGCATTTTGAATTTTGAAAAACTGACATCGGATTCGTAATCAGCGACCCCAAAAACACCAGAGTAACAATTTTCAAGCGAATCCGATGAATTAAAAAAATTTTTGGAAAAGGTCAGCCATTTTGAATTTTCAAAAATAGACACCGGATTCGTAATCAGCGACCCAAAAAACTATTAAAGCATGTTGAGATATAAAATTTTCTATACAGGGTAAATTGAACCATTTTGGTACCGATTTCTGCAATTTAATTAAACTGTAGGAGGGTTAATAACTTAAAAAACTAAAATTTTTAAAAATCTTCCCAGTAAAAAAGGATTTTTTAATATAGCATTTTGGACGATTGAGCAAGCCGTCTGCTCAATTGTCCAAACGGCATTTGGACAATTGGACTGGTTGCTCAATTATCCGATGCATTAGGTACAATCATCCCAAATGTTTTTCGAGGCTAAAAAACTGCTAAATTAAAAAAAAAAAGTACTGAAATGTTACAGAAACTTTAAAGAATTCTTAATTCCAGACAAATACAGAAAAATTAGGTATAAAAATACCTCGAGTGAGGAAAAAGAACAAGATTTCTAAAATATTACTATTTAACTGACAGTGCAATGCTGTACCGTAAACTGGGGCTATTAGGAACAGATTTCAACTTTAAAGTCTTGCAACTTTTTTGTGTATTGAAATATTGCCTTAATTTTTTGTTTCTTTTCTTGATCTTGGCGAGCACATTGAAGGGCTAAATAATTGTCTTGATCAAAGCTGGAATTTTAAACAAAAAAGACAAAAAAAAGCATTTTTTCGAAATTAGAAAATGGGGCTATTAGGAACAAGGCGGTAAAAATCATTGGAAAACGTATTTAAAGTTAAAGAAGTTATTTTTTATTGCCCGAAAGTACACACAGAATATAAAATAAATGTAAAAACAAAACTAAAAGAGCGAATGTGTGTTTTAAACGTTGCTGGTATCATAGTAGAGGTCGATGATGGAATCACTAGTCGTTTTTTGCGACTAGTCGGTACCAACACTCTTTTACAATTTCGAACCATCTTTGAACACTAAAAACCAAATTAGGTGATAAAAAACAAAAGAAATTACGAAAAACTTACATTTTGACAACACACTTTAACAATTCGGAAGAAATAATTGTGTTCCTTATGTACCCGCCGTTTGTTAATTTTGGTTTTTGCTTCTAAAATCTTACTGTAAATACAAAATAAACGTATTTATTACTTAGTGAACTCAATAAAGTTTATCATTAGAAATCCCATTAATAAAAAACAATCACTTTGAGATTTTAAAAATGAAACAACTTACATCAGCAATCAAATGTTTTCCACGTTTGAAACTTCACTAAAACACATTAAGTCACTTACAAGCTACTATTGTTCACAAAATATTTAATAATCACAATTATTGCATTGAAAAGTGTTGCCAGTTACCGCAGCAACAATTTGTCAAAAGCAAGTAACACAATTTATCGATAAACGGCGCCGATAGCATCAACTCCACTCGAAAACAGAATTTTGTTCCTAATAGCCCCAGTTTACGGTACTTGAAATTTATTCTCTAAAGTTTCTGTAACATTTCAGTACTTTTTTAGGGTTCCGTACACCATAGGTGTACTGACGGAACCCTTATGAAATCACTCGTGTGTCCGTCCCAGCCACGCAAAATGGGCTGTCCCCCCCCCCTAACTTCTACAAATCTCAACCTGGTGAGTTGAAATTCGGCAGGGATCTTCAGTTTTAAGTGCAAATTACAGGAAAAATATAGCGAACCCGATTGACGGACATATTTGCGAACTAGGAGGGAAATAAATTCAATTTTTTCGAAAAAAATGCTAAAAATGACCCTGTCCCCCCCCTTAACTTTTACAAATCTCAACCTAGTGAGCTGAAATTCGGTAGGGATCTTCAGTTTCAAGTGCAGATTACAGGAAAAATATAACGAACCTGATTGGTGAAGATATTTGGGAACTAGGAGGGAAAGAAATTAAATTTTTTTGAAAAAATTGCAAAAAATGACCCTGCCCCCCCCCTTAACTTTTACAAATCTCAACATTATGAGCTAAAATTCGGTAGGGATCTTAAGTTTCAAGTGTAGATTACAGGAAAAATATAGCGAACTCGATTGACGGACATATTTGCGAACTAGGAGGGAAAGAAATTCAATTTTTTTGAAAAAATTACAAAAAATGACCCTGTCCCCCCCTTTAACTTTTACAAATCTTATCCTGTTGAGCTGAAATTCGGTAGGGATCTTCAGTTTTAAGTAAAGATTACAGGAAAAATATAGCGAACCGGATTGGTGGAGTTATTTGCGAAATTGAAGGGCAAGAATTTGAATTTTTCGAAAAAATTACACTGTCCCTACTTTAATGGAGCTCTCACAGCTCTGCCTGCCTGCCTGCGCAGGCAGTAATTGGAGTAAGAGAGAAAATCAATTAGAGTGAAAGAGACAGTAAATTCAAATTTGTATGCTGCCTACTAGCTGTGAGAGCGCCTTAACTTTCATAAATTTAAACCTGGTGAGTTAAGATTCAGCTTGTATATTCTTTTTCAAGTGCAAATTATAGAAAAAATAAAGAGAATGTGATTGGCGAAGATAAGTACTATAAAAGAAAAAATATAAAGATTTATTAATAAAATAAAATAATAAAAATATTTATTCGAAATTTAAAAAAATATATTACTATTTTTTTTAATTATTTTTTTCAAATTTTGTAAGAATTTTTGAAATAATTTTTTTATAAACAATGAGTTTTATTTTGGTGTACGGAACCCTCGATCTTAATGCGAGTGAAACTCGCACTTGTCCGATTTTTTTTCTTAATTTATCAGTTTTTTAGCCACGAAAAACATTTGGGATGATTGTATCTAATGCATCGGATAATTGAGCAACCAGTCCAATTGTCCAAATGCCGTTTGGACAATTGAGCAGACGGCTTGCTCAATCGTCCAAAATGCTATATTAAAAAATCCTTTTTTACTGGGTTATTAGCGTTATCATGGACTATCAAAACATAGATGGGTGATTCTCCGCGTAGCGCACGATTTGGTTTATGAAATTAAAAAAATTTTTTTTTTCGTTATGATTAATATCAATATATTTTTTTGAAGATAAAGGCTTTAGAAAGAAAAATCCATAGCGGGCCGGAAAAATTATTTATAATTTTTGTTGTAAACAAGTGTAGTAATTAACTAATTCACTGTTTGGACACATTCTGTCAAAAAAAAATTTTGCGGTAATTTAAACAATATTATATCATAAATCTCATTTAAAAATTATTATTTCGGTAATTTATGGTAATTTATGGAAATTTTTGCGATAATTCATAAAAATATGTAAAATTTAAATTATTAGTAAAAATTTGGATTTTGGTAATTTATGGAAATTTTTGGAAATTTATGGAAATTTTTGCGATAATTCATAAAAATATGTAAAATTTAAATTATTAGTAAAAATTTGGATTTTGGTAATTTATGGAAATTTTTGGAAATTTATGGAAATTTTTGCGATAATTCATAAAAATATGTAAAATTTAAATTATTATTAAAAATTTGGATTTTGGTAATTTATGGAAATTTTCGCGGTAATTTATGGAAATTTATGGCAATTTGTAAGGTAATTTAAAGAAATTTTGTCGGTAATTTTTAAAAATATTCAAAGTAGAAATCACAATTTAAAATTTTTATTTCGGTAATTTATGGAAATTTTTGCGGTAATTTATAAAAATTTTCGTGGTAATTTATGGAAATTTATTTAATTAATTTATGGTAAATTTTTCTGAGCAATAGGTTTTTTTTATTCCTTATATATGTGGCACCATAACACTACATTTGCACTAGGTTCTTCGTAATACAAAGGTCGGTGGAAATTCTGATGCCGGTGGAGACTAAGGTCGGTGGAAACTTTTTTCAATCGCCTTCAGTTATTTTTATTTTTTTAAAAAAAATATCATTAATTTTCAATCGGTTTCAAATGGACTTCATTTGTATTGACTAAAATAATATAACTACGCTTCATTTAACCTTTTTTATAAATAATTGTTTAATTTGTAATAAAATATTTAAGGGTCGGTGGATGCCGGTGGAGACTATTTTGTGATTCCCTTTTCAAATTCCCAACATAAAATGAGTGAAAAATGAATAAATCAATTAGAACATTGATTCTTTTTCCTGAATTAACTTAAGGAAGTTATTTCTTGTGTTTACAAAAGTAATTTTAAGTTAACATTTCATTTTCATTTAAATAATTCACTGTTTGTTAATAAAATAATAAATAGCATCCAAATTTGCTGTCAAGCATAAACTGAAAAAAACATATATAAAATGAATTTTAAAAAAAAATTTTTTTTATTCAACTGTACTAAAGTAGACAATACTAAAATGTCAATAGTAATTGTATTTATTATTGCATATTACTAAAATTATTAACTTTTTTTTCTAAACTTCCTATGGGGACAGGTAAAAATTTGACGTTTTCAGCCTTAAAACCACTTATTTATGAAAAATTATAATATTAGATACAAAAGTAATTATTGGTTTTTGTTTCTAAACATATAGATAACCTTTTTACGTTGGAATTGTAAAAATATGGTCAGTGAGTCAGTGAGCAGTGAGCGCCTCTGGGCCACTCACTGCTACCCGACTGGTATTAGCGCGTACCTCCGAGCGTCGGGCGAGTTATTGGATCCAAGGCCTCAATTGAAGAATTTATGTGTAAATAAGAAATTGTAGTATTATTCATTATTAATTTAATATTATGTACTTATTCAATACCTTATCAGAATTAAGAGAGTCTTGTTGCTCATCGTCTACTGATAACGAACATCGGTCTTTGCTGGGAACAGCCCAGTGATGGTCCAGCATCGAACGCCTGCGCTCTTCCAATGTTTTGTTAGCTTGACCCCCGACAGCCTCACCGCTGCTCTCCTTATCCTTATCTTTGGTCGAAGCCGAATTTTCATCCTGTTACAACATCCATTCAAATAAAAATTCAATTCAATTTTAAAATACAAATTATTATTATTATGTAATTTTGTAATACGATGTACAAAATTTGAAAAAGAGAAAACTTACGGTTTGTAGATTTGTAGGTGTGACGAGATCTCTCTCGAAAGCTTTGGGAAAAGCATCTCCTTCACGTTCAGCACAACTGCAAACACTCTCACTATCGTCGGTTGTTAATTCCGGGAAATTCTCATCTTTCCCAGGAGATTGACATTTACTTGCTCCAGATTGTGAAATTTTTTTCATGTAATATATTTCCGGTTTTTTATCTTGATTATTTGATTCCGTATGACTGACACGCATGTGAGCGATGTCATAATAAATTGCGGCATTAACGACAAATTCCATGGGCGCAATAACACCATAGGATTCAGCGCCATGCTCAATGACAAGTGGATCCGAGACATTCGGATCAAACATCACTGCATTTGGTGTTACTAGTAAAACACCTCCAACCACTCCCTAAAAATATTGACAAATTAAAAAGAATAAATTATCATCAACTCTCTAAATTTAAATTAGCGACAAGGATACAAGGATTAGCGACAGAAGGTTCAAATTAAAAGATCTAATCCGAAAGGTCCGACAACTTAAAAGCGCCAAGAGATAGATAAAACCTATCCAAAAGTTTTAAAAATTTCAATCCTAAAGGTCCAAAAATTTAAATGTTTAAAAATTTACCTTCTTTTGATTTTAAGTTTACTTTTTTTTATTTATAACACTTGTTGACAAAGTTTGTTGGTGAGGTAGACGGAAGGGTAGAGGGGAACTGTGAGCGGCACCAGGAGCGTATATATAAGTTTTTAATAAAGGCATACAATGAAATATTCATCTAGGCAGTTCGTACGGCCCTGTTTCTTTTTATTTTCACGTTTGACTGATCCTCTCGATCGAAGCGTTAGGTCCCCCGAACCGACGCATCGATTGAAATTAGTGATCTTCGAGCGAGTCTCGTCTCGAAAAGCCGAGAATCTCGAGAGAAAAACAATGAAAACAATAAAATTGAATGTTACTATTTCATCTTTTTCTTTCTATGAAAGGACAGAGTCTCGTCGTGCATCTCTAATTGAAATTCCAGTGTACACTGTTTTTATCTTTTATATATTGGTTTTGGAATACATTTTTTGTTCTGGACATTTGGAACTTTTTGTACTTTTGGAAATTCTGTCTCTTGGACCTTTTCAAACCATATCGGACAGAGAAATCTGTTTAACCAGTCAAACACTAGTTATATATATTTTTTTAATTATAAAGTTTATAAGCATTTAATACCATAAATTTTCTAAAAATTAGAATTTCAATACGTTGCGTTTTTATGTATATTTTAATGATTTTAACAAAATGTTTGTGTAAATCTTTTGAAATATTTCTAACTAAACATTTATTAATGTTGATTTTAAGAATTTTAGTTCGTTTGAGTCTTACTTAAATACATATGCAAATAAATACATAAAATTATAAATCAAAAATTCGTTTATTTATTTCGTACTTTTTTCGATTATATCAATATGATAAATCATATTGCAGATAGTCTTTTATTTTATAACTTAACACCGTCCGACACGATTTTTCACACACAAAAAAATCAAACATTTTTGGAAACTAGGACCAAAAAAAAAATACCTGTGTCTGGCCGTTTTGCTGGATCAAGTCGTTTGTGGCTTCTAGGGGTGAAAACAACCCTTAAATGAAAAGTGACAAGTAATAATTTAAAAATAGATTCAATTTGCCTAAAACTCGTTACTCGGGGGTTTTTGGGGTTGCAGATCACGAATCCGATGTCGGTTTTTTAAAATTAAAAATGGCGGATCCAATATGGCGGCTGTCAAAATAAAAAATTGATCGGATTCGCTTGAAACTTGTTACTCGGGGGTTTTTGGGGTCGCTGCTCACGAATCCGATGTCAGTTTTTCAAAATTCAAAATGGCGGATCCAATATGGCGGACATATTTTTTAAAAAATGATTTAATTTGCCTGAAACTCGTTGCCTGGGGGTTTTTGGGGTCGCTGATTACGAATCTCATGTCAGTTTTTCAAAATTCAAAATGGCGGATCCAATATGGCGGACATCTTTTTTAAAAAATGATTTAATTTGCCTGAAACTCGTTGCTTGGGGGTTTTTGGGGTCGCTGATTACGAATATGATATTAGATTTTTGAAATTCAAAGTGGCGGATCCAATATGACTGCTAACTTTTTGAAAAATAGATTCAATTTCCCTGAAACTCGTTACTCAGGGGGTTTTGGGGTCGTTGATTACGTATCTTAAGTCAGATTTTAAAAATACAAAATGGCGGATCTTATAAAGATGAAGATTACAACAAATTTCAATATTTTTACAAATGTGTCTTTGCATATTGGACATTTTTTTAATGACAAAGCTAACTTTGTGGTAAGTAAATTTATTCGATAATAGGAAGCGTAAGTAAGATGAATTATTAAATATAAAGTGATTGTTTAACAATGCTTCTAAAGTGAAAATATCAACTATTGACATTTGTTTAAAAATCGTTTAAAATCAATTAAGAATATTTAATTGCAAAAAACAAAAAAGAATCACACAATTAAATTTTCCAGTTTCATTCTAGATCTGTAATCTACATTTTGATCCTACATTTTTAATTTTGAAAATCTGACTTAAGATTCTTAATCAGCGATCCCAAAAACCCCCTGAATAACAAGTTTCAGGGAAATTAAATCTATTTTTAAAAGTGTTGACAGCCATATTGGATCCGACATTCTGAATTTTGAAAAACTGACATCGGATTCGTGATTTGCGACCCCAAAAACCCCCGAGTAATAAGTTTCAAGCGAGTCCGATCAATTTTTTATTTTGACAGCCACCATATTGGATCCGCCATTTAAAATTTTAATAAACCGACATCGGATTCGTGATCAGCGACCCCAAAAACCCCCGAGTAACAAGTTTCAAGCGAATCCGATCAATTTTTTATTTTGACAGCCGCCATATTGGATCCGCCATTTTTAATTTTAAAAAACCGACATCGGATTCGTGATCTGCGACCTCAAAAACCCCTGAGTAACGAGTTTTAGGCAAATTGAATCTATTTTTATAATATAACTTGTCACTTTTCATTTAAGGGTTGTTTTCACCCCTAAAAGCCACAAACGACTTGATCCAGCAAAACGGCCAAACACGGGTATTTTTTTTTTGGTCCTAGTTTCCGAAAATGTTTGATTTTTTTGTGTGTAAAAAAAAAAGTTAAATTTTGTCGGACGGTGTAATAGTTAAATTATTGTAAAAATTAGAAAGCAGGACTAATAATCAATAACATTAATTTTTCCATTTTCATTTGTGTGACTAGAATTTTAGTGTTTGACCAGTCGAACAGCTTCGATATGTGTTAAAGTTTTTGACCTTTTGGATTGAACCATTCAGATTGAATCTTTTTTTTGGACCTTCTGTACCATTTATATTAATATTTCAGGCCTTTTACTCGTTCGAATTGCGCTTGTGAAATTCATTAAGTGAATAATTAGTCTATCAGTTTATTAAAGAAACGGAGTCTTCTTACCTGTCCATCTGTAATGTGACGAACATTAATTTTAAGAAACCTCTCTTTATATGGTCCATCTTCATCCATGATTGTAGTGTTGCTTTGAGGTGTTTTAACCCTTTCCAAATGTCCAGGTTTGGGAGAAACAGGTCTTAGATTGTCCAAAAGTTCTGTGAATTAAATGAAGAAAAGTTGAAGAATTAATCTACTACATAACAAAATTGAAAATAAAAAACAGATTTAAAAAATTGCTTATTTCTGTACAAAAAATAATTATTTCAAAATTTCAGGAAAATTAACGTTTTCTGCTGGGTATTTTAAAAAAATGTTGTAACATTTCAGTGAAGTGAAATGTCCACAAGGAAAATATCGATTAAGACTGATGTAAAGTGTCACTGCTTGCTTTTTCTTTCTTTCTTTTTTTTAAAGAGTTGAGTCATAAAACTTGATATCTACTTTATGGTATATAAACTGTGCGATTAAACATTTTGTGATTACGTTTTAACGATTGAACGAGCTGTTGCCTAGTCCGGGTCACTTAAAATTTAAATAAATTAAAATTTCTAGTCACTAGCAGTTTATATAAAGCAACAGTACTGTCACATAGAAGTTATTTTCTAAAAATAAAAAGCCAGGTTTGAAAAATGAACTTTCTTCTGTAAAATATTGAATTTAAGAGAGAAGAAAAGAGTTACCTGACTTCTGGAACATAACCTGAGTGTCTATTGGCGCTATCAGTTGAATAGACAGCTTATGAATAACTATTTTCAGACAAACCAGAATTGTGAGAGACTCTTATCAATTCGGTAGTTATTTGAAGAGATGCAAAGCAACTGATAAGCTTCTGAACGTGATATATTCACATTAGAAGAAACTTAAACAGTTCTGAGCTCAAAGCATTCATTCGTAAACAGGCAAAAGGTGACATGCTCCTTTCTTTATTATTTATAACATTAATTTTACGTTTTCATTTTTTATGCATTATTCAACATTTTTATTCTCTCAGTTACTATAAAAATTTTTGTATGCAAACAGTTTCAGTTGATCGCATAGTTGGCATAATCAATTGAAGAAGTAAATTAAATATTGAAACTACTTGCCTTTCTCTTCAGGTGGAAGATCATCTTGAGAATCATGGTCCTGAGCAAGATCCGGACTTGGTGCTTCGGCAGTCACACCTTCTCTTAGGCAACCTTCTCCTTTTGTTGGAACCCATAATTGTTGACCGGGATAAATAAACGTGCTACCAAGCCTGTTGAGTTTGCTCAATTCCGACGGTGTTGTATCGAATCTCGCCGCTACCGATGTAAGTGTATCTCTGTCGCCCACCTAAGAGAAGAAAAATAAAATAAAAACATGAATCAATATCTTCATTCCTAACTCTTAAATAATTCACTCGTTTCTCTCTAGAAAAAAATTACATCACAATGTCAAGTTGTTTTGAGATAAATCTGTTTTACAAACAATGATTCAATCGGAAAACTGACAAATATCATAAATCAAATATTAGCAATTTATTAATAGCCTTTTATCATTCTTAATGTTTATATTACATTAATTTTAGCATTAATGAAACATAAAGAGCAAAATAACAATAGTAAATATAAATATTTTTATAAAAAAAAGTGCAGTAAAAGAACTGTAGAAAACAAAACCTAAAGGTTTTTAATAATATATATTAATAATATTCCTTAATAAAGGAAATCTGAAAAATTGACTAAAAAAGAATAAGAAATTTTCTTCTTGTACCTATAATATACAAAGAATTAAATAAATTTGTTCGGAAATAAACCGCAAGTAAATGAACGGATAATCGAATTAAAACATCTGGTAAAACCATCTTCAATATGGCATTGATCCAGTAAAGGTGAATGAATATTTTTCAACTGAAGAAAAATAAAATAAAATTCTATAGAAAATCCTTTAAAAAACTTATAGGTGATCTTATGTAGAATTCTTTCTAGAATATTGAGTTGACTATGTAGGTTGATAATGTCCCAAGCAGGACTGAAACTTTTATAAAAATTTATTAAAGATTTACTTGCAAACTTCGGAGTATTCACTTGCAAAGTTTAGTGAAAATTGTGTAAAGATTTAAATGACCCACTTCAATAAATGTTTAGCGTTTAACATTCAAATTTAATTTTCGTCTACATCTATTTAGGCGAAACTGTAATTTAAATGTTTAGGTGAGTTTCACGCTAAACATTTATTGAAGTGAAACATTTAAATTTTTACACAATTGTCACTAATATTTTCAAGTCAATACTTTGATGTTTGCAAGTAATTCTTTAATAAATTTTTAGGGAATTTTCGGTGCTGTGTGGGGTATAACTTTGTACATATACATACGAATCATGTACGTATACCACCCTCTTGAAAATTACCACATGCTGTTTGTTTGGTTGTTTTTATTGGTTTTAAGTGTTTATTGCGGTTAAACTTTCATATTTTTGTTATAGTGAAGGAGAATAAAACGAAAACATTCGGACAAATAGTTTTTAAAATTAGTTTACTCCAATGTTTCGAAATCTTAATGATTTCCTCTTCAGGGAGTTTATAAAAATATAAAATAATTTTACAAAAAATATAAAATAATATACAAAAAATATAAATAATATACAACAAAATATAAAAATAATATGCAAATAATATACAACAAAATATAAATTAATATACAAAAAATATAAAGTAATATATAAAATAATATGCAAAAAAATATAGATATACTTAACATTCGTCAATCAGAAAAATTATAAAATTTAAAAAGTATATAAATTTCAAAACAAAATATAATTAATCTAACATTTATTCATAAATAATAAAAAGGTTATAATAATATCTTACCAAAAAAATTAATAAATAAACATTCGTCAGCAAAAAATAAAAACAAATTCACCTATCAAACGTCAGAGAAAACATAGAGTTTGGAGTCATAACTAAAATAAATGAGAATCGAAATTATAATAAAGAATAATAAAGAATTTAGAATTAATAAAGTAAAATAAAATATCAAAGTTTTAATTAAAAGAATTAAAAAAATTTTAATAGTTACTTAATTAAAATAGGGGAGACTAGGTGCGGTTGTTACTCAGGTTAAAATCCCCGTACAGGATCCTTAAAGGATCCTCTCGGGATCCTGTGCAGGTCCTATGCAGGATCCCGACCGGATCCCGTACCCGTCCTGTACAGGATCCCGACCGGATCCCGTGCAGAAAATTGGAACAGGGTTCCTGTGCAGGTTCCGATGCAGGAACCTTAGCTATCAAAGGTTCCTGTAAAGGTTCCTGTACAGAAACACTTGCAGGATCATGCACAGGAAACTTTGTAAAGGTTCCTGCACAGGAACCTTTACAGTTTTGTAAACTGCAGGTACTTAAGTATAAAGGATCCTGTAAGGAACCCGTAAAGGATCCTACACAGTTTCCTCAATTAATTTATTTATATTTTTAACTCCTGCGCAGTAGTTTTCTATGAGTTTCTCGGATGCGCAATACATTTTTCTGTCCAACATTGTTATACGAGCCTAACATATTGAAATATGAAGTCTATGTATGTCAAATGTTGCTTAACATATAAAAATTTAAAAAATTAAAAAGTTTCCTGTACATGATCCTGCAAGTGTTCCTGTACAGGAACCTTTGATAGCTAAGGTTCCTGCATCGGAACCTGCACAGGAACCCTGTTCCAATTTCCTGCACGGGATCCGGTCGGGATCCTGTACAGGACGGATACGGGATCCAGTCGGGATCCTGCATAGGACCTGCACAGGATCCCGAGAGGATCCTTTAAGGATCCTGTACGGGGATTTTAACCTGGGTACGTTGTGCAGTTGTTACAAATGGAATATCTCAGAAACAGTAAGTTATAGAGATGGGGTTCCAAAGAGAAAAATGTTTAGTTCTTATGTACGAACTTATTGCAATATGTTTAAAAATTATATGCAAGCTTTATAAGTAAAAAAATAGGCACATTGCTTTTGAGGATAAAAGTAAATATTTCTCTGCCTGATATGATATTTTTTAAATCATTAATAGACCTTTATACTTAACAAAGTAAATTTTTTTAATATCAATTCTATGAGGATTAAGCTTTAAAAAACTGCCTTGGTTGTCCACATTTAGTGTATACTTATTTTTAATAAAGTGTTTTATTGTAAAAAATTTACTTGTTGTGCAGTGTTGTTACAAGTGATAAATAATGAGAACGGATATTTTTTCCAAAATTCAGCATATTACTTTGAAATGTAAAATATTTGTCAAAAATGTAATCACACTCATTTTTTATGAAAAATCTCATGGTTTTTCTAAATACGTCTTAAAAATTAATGAAAAAAAACTTTTTTATGTTTCTTTCATTTCGAAACAATATTAATGCTGCCATCTCTATGGAACTGTCACGTACTATTACGTTGAGTCAAAAATTATGAATAATTAATAAAAGTTGTTATATGAAATTATTTGTCTTTAATTTAGAAATGTTATAGATGATTCTTGGTGTTGTAACAACCGACATTCACTTTGTGCAGTTGTTACAATATACACGTCTTTAATAAAAATTTGTCAAGAATGTGATCGTTTGTTTTCGAATGACATAAACAAAAGGTTGTCGAAGATTTTCTTGGAATTGCAGCGAATTTTAAGGCTTCTACACTGCAAAAACTGGTATCTCACTCGTGTCTTAAAATGAGTTGCTTTAAGTGTTTAAACCATTCAGATACAAAATCTGTTTTATATTGAGACATTTAATTTCATCTCGTGTCTCATTTTAAGACATTAAAGGTAACTCAATGCGTATAAGACACGTAAAACGTCTTCTTAGTGTGAGACGGATACTCGAAACACATTTCGTGTCTCAAAATGCATTGCTAAATGTGTAAGACACTTTGAAACGTCTTAAAATGAGACACATATCTGTTTCAAATATGTGGACTAAGACATTATGTGTTTCAAATATGGGACAAAACGTCTCAAAATGAGACACTTGTTTTTGCAGTGTAAGAACGTGAAATTCAAAAGCTCCCATTACCCCACGCTCCCCTAAATCTTATTTTAAGGACTATCTGAAATTAAACAAGTCTTGAAAGTAATGCAAGTCTTAATTTAAACCCAGCTTGCGTGAAAATACGGATAGGCAATCTGAATTCATAGTTCTACCTTTTAAATTAAGTATACAACTGATGATTTTTAACATGATTCTCTTAAATTCAGCACATTCTTTGCTGATAATCAGCATGCTTTGCTTTTTAAATTCAGCATAAATGTATGATTTGCAATTCAACGAGGGCTGTCTTAAAAATGTTCCATCTTAAATTAAGAAACCTTTCATTTTATGCCAATCATTAAAAAAATATGTAGGGGAGACTGGGGTAAACCCGCTCACTTTTTTTCAGATCGGATAAAATCTAGGAAATTATTCTCTAAATCCAAGTTAATTTATATCATTTGAAAGCTTTTGATTTCTACTAAAAAAATAAAAAATAGTTTTTGATTTATTTTTTTTAGTTTTACTTAGCGAAACTTTTTAATAAACATATACCAAATTTCGAAATCACAATTTTCCAGGGTAAACCCGCTCACTTTATCTTTTCAAGACGGAACAGTTTTATTTTTTAAATATTAAAGTTCGTCTTATTCCCGTCTTAAGTATGATTTATTATTGATAATTTATGAGTTATATAAACAATTCTATAAACAAAAAATTGGTTTAATAAATAATTAACATAGATTTCATGAATTACAACTATGGATTTAAATAGTGTTATATTTTATTAAGAGAAAGTGAAATGTAGTTACAATTTTGGTTTTAATAAGTCATAAATTGTGTTATTGTTGAAATATAATACGTGAAATTATTTTATTCTAAATTTTAAATTTAAAACTAAGTGAGCGGCTTTACCCCGACTTCACGTGAGCGACTTTACCCCGAGTGTATTCCTCACATTTCAGAATAAATTTAATTAAATCTTTTTAAAATAAGACAAAACTATATATGTACTTCGATGAAGGACATCCAATAGCAACAAAACAAAATTTCCCAGATAAATTAAGACTCAAAAATAATGATCGAAAAACTTAAAAATCCAAAATACGTTTTTTTTTCTGACACCTCTAAAAACATTTGATCGTCTCTGATTCTGTGTTGAATTCATGAAACTAAACAAAAGTTCGTTAATATAAGTTGAATGTTAAGTACTATTCACAGTACCAATATCTCCATCTTAAGTTGAGTTCATAGCGTAAAATCGCTAGTGAGCGGGTTTACCCTGTGAGCGGGTTTACCCCAGTCTCCCCTAAATTAAAAACAAAATATTTCATGTTGTTTTCATG